TAAATGCCTCTATCTGGAAATTTTTTTTCTTCGGTGCACTCATTTTTCTCAATTCCCGAAGTCACACGCCGCCTGAATATTCCAACTTCCTAAACCCGAATACAATCCGACTTCGACCGATCAGGTTTTAAATCACCGATCTAATAATTAGGGATTTAGGGTTTCTCTGCAAATAAAAAAAATTGGGGAAAGATACCTTAGCGATTAAGAAAGTAGAAATGGAATTGAACTTTGAAATTAACAGACGAAGAGGATTGATGGGTTATAAAAGAAACTTGATGAATTAACAAGTAAAGATGGCTAACCAGACAGCCATTTTCGGTCGGTTGAAACTTTGAGCGTTTTCTTCTATGCTTCCTTCCTATCTGTCTTTATTATTTATTTTAATCATTTTTTAATTTCTAAGTTGTTCCTTTACCACTTACCAGCCCCTCGAGTCTCGTTTTTCCTGTTTTGGAGCCTCTATTCTTTGGGTTTTTGAGTCGATATTTGGGACTTTAAAGCCCGGCTAAATGGCCCACGAGAAGTGCAAGAGCATCATCAACTTCCTTGAGAATTTCAATTTTTGTACAGTCTAATTGGAGATTTTTTACATTGTTATGCTAAACTTGGTGCATATATATCGACAGTGATCTAATTACACGATTTTACTCAAATGCGATGATACGTAATCTGTTACTTTCACATAAATCAAAATCTTTCATTAAATATTGTCAGAAAGATTACATAGAGTGATATGTTATATGATTTATTTCTTCTATGTGAAATATTGATACAAGAAATCAAATGCAATAAGTTTATTTTCAATTTCGAAGGAGTTATAGTTCATTCGAAATATTTTGCGCTAACAGGAGTGTCAATTGCAATGGAAAAGGCAATGAAGTTGATGAAAGTTGCGTGAGAAAATACAGAGGGTGATACAAAATACAATCTCCTTCTCATATGTGAGATATTTATACAGGGAATCAAGGGAAACAAATTTATTTCCACGGAATTACAATGCATTCCAAATATTTGACGCTAACAGGGGAAAATCGACGTAGAGATTTAAGGAAGAACAAAGATTGCAATGGATGAATCGATGAAGTGAACGGAAATTGCCTGAAAGAATACAGAGGGTGATACGATATACAAATTTTTTTAATTATCTATGAGATATATGCAGAGAATCAAACACACTGACAAAGTTATCTGAAAAATACAAATAATGATACGATATACAATTTAATTCTCATATGTTAGATATTTATAGGGAATCAAACACAACAATTTTATTTCCAATTTTGAAGGAGTTACACTTCATTCGAGATAGTTGGTGCAGATAGGGAAATATTAACACAAAAAATCAAGGAAAACCCTAGATTCCAATTGGGGAGGCTTTGAAGTGCATGAAAGTTGATCAAAATATTACACAAGGTGATTACGATATACATTTTCTTTCTCATATATGAGATATTGCTACAGAAAATCAAACACAATAAAATTATTTTCAATCTCAAAAGATTTACAATTTATTTGAGATATTTTGTGCTAATAAGAAAATATTGACACAAAAATTCAAGGAAGAACCTAGATTGCAATGGGAGAGACTATGAAGTGAATGAAAGTTGATCAAAAAATTACAGAGGGTGATTATGATATACAATTTCTTTCTCATATCTGAGATATTTGATATAGGAAATGAAACGCAATAAATTTTTTTCAATCTCAAATGATGTACACTTTATTTGAGATATTTGGTTCTAGCAGGAAAATATTGAAACAAAAATTTTAGGAAGAACCTAGATTGTAACGGGAGAGGCTATGAAGTGAATGAACGTTGATCAAAAGATTACACAGGGTGATTATGATATACAATTTCTTTATCATATATAAGATATTGATAACAAAGAATCAAACGCAATAAATTTATTTCAATCTCGAAGGATTTACACAATATTTAGAATATTTTGTGCTAATAGAGGAATACCGACAAGAGATTTAAGAAAGAACATAAATTGAAATGAAAATGACGGTGAAGTGAATGAAAATTGCCTAAAAAATTACAGAATATAATTTCATTCTCAGTGAAATTTTAATTAAAATTTACTAATTAAGATTATAAAACATAAGGAGAATTAAGATTTGATCAAAACAAATAGATAAAAACTAGAAATGTATATGGGTAACAAGAAAGAACAGAAGACAGATGGGTTATTTTTCCCTCCCACTGAAATGTTGTGGATCATAATCCAATTATCCTGTCGTAGGCCCACACCAATTATTGGGCAGGTACAATATCATGTGGATAATGGACTTTTGCTATTCCATTTTACAATGGGAGGATTTTCGCAAATAGTCAATATAATAAATTTAGGATAAATTATTGAAATACACGTATGAGTAACTTACACATAACAAATATAAAAATCATATTTGTATGTTATAGTTATATTTTGTATAATTGGCTCCATAGCAAATTTTATGTTTGCTATGGAGCTTTTGATTTGTATAATTCGCTAGATACATCCAATTTTATACAAATTGTTCAATTTTGTATAAATTTATTTATACATTGTAATTTGTATAATAAGATATGTATTTGTATAATTATAAGTGTATAAGATGAAAATAATGTATTTGTATTTGTGTATACACTTTTCTCTCGCTTTGTGCAAATACAAACGCATTTTATATATTTGTTTACCGAATGACTAATTGTATACCAAACCAAATGGCAAAAAAATGGGATGTTTGCTGCAAATTACAAATAAAATAAGCTATGGCTATAGCATTTGATTTGAATTAATAGTTTGCTATTTCATACAATTTCCCCTAAATTTAATTATGATTCATAGCTATAGTTTGCATATTTACAGGTTGTAGTTACAGTTTAAGCTGCCTCGTATAATTTGCGGGTGAGTTTGTCTTATTGAACTATTTTTGTATAAACTCGAAATAACGAATTTATACAAAAACAAACACTTGAACTTTAAACAATTATTATATTATATAAAATTACATTATACAAAAGTTATACAAATTCTGAATTATACAAACTCAATATCTCAGCGCAACTCAGGATTTAAAGACTTCGGGTGCACCAAATATGATCTCCAAGCTAAATTTTAAATAAAAATAATAAATAGTGTCTACCTAGATTCGGATCCTAGTCTCATAGGTGGTTCTTTTGCCTTATACTAACAGTACAAGAACACGCCTATGATCCTCATGGGGTGCATTGTTAATTATATTCTAGTTTCTTCCAGTTTCTAAATATAGATATACATATATACACATGATATTTTCCGAATTTAACGGGTGCATATGCACCCCCACTAATTCGATATTTTTAAAGCATGATGAATATAACACGGTAACCCAACATTCAGTAAAGCAAATAAATGGATTTTCAGCCTTAATTAATTTGTGCTGGTAAAGTGCCTAATATCCCATACTTGCAGGTATATTATGTGGCAATCTCATGACCGTTTATCTCTTGCTCTGCTAACTTAATTTCCTACGATACATTGAAAGAGACATAAACATGCGATCCATATATAAAATATATAATATTTTGGTAAGTGACTTCAGTAGCTGCAACATTTGTCTACTACATAACTTTGATTTACTAGGTACAATAAATAAATATATTCATATTCATCAAAAGATGAGTCTCTTTTTAGATGTATTATTGAATAAGTCATCAACCAATAGAATCCTAAAGTCTACTTGTAAGGTGGCTGCTGCTTGTCATTTCAATGAACATTGAGAAAGAGGATGAAGAGTACAGAACATTTTTGAGTTTGACACAAAATCATTTTATCTATCTATTGGGTTTGGCCCGTCTTCATGTGCTTTACAATAACAATAATATCATATTGAGTATAATTTTGTGAAATGGAGTTTTGAGATAGAATATATACAGGCCTTATTTCTAAGTCAAAACAATTAAAACAGTCAAGAAAAAGAACATACAGAAGTGAAGTCATCACAAAAATTTATCAAACAGTGAACAATAACTATAACAAAATATACCATAATCGAAGTATAAGAAACATCAAACGGTAACAAATGGCTTGATTCACCAATATTAGGTTAATACGCAATTGCCTAAGAACAGAACTTTTTTAAACCTTTCAACAATTCCACGTGTCTGGTAATCCAAATATGTTGATATATTATCGATAGCGACTGTCAAAATTTAAAGCCTAATTCTGAAATATCTATCATATTATAATCTTTGATTTAATAGCTAAAAAAGATGCCACTTGTTTCCAATTTCCTCTCACGTAGAAATCCCTGTATGACCATTGACCCACCCATAATTGCAATTCCCCTGCCATTTGGACACCACTAGTAGTTGAATTATTGTAAAAATATTTGTCTTTCATCAGTTTCTTGATTGTTTGGCAACTCTGTTGGGACTGTGCAGATTTGATAGAGACCTCCCATCCAATATTTTTAGCCCACTTAGGCTATATTCAAGATCCTCACATGTTTTTTAATACTCAATTGTATCGACTAACTTCATGAATAGACGTTCCATTAATTAAAAAAGAGTATGTATATGTGAAATCAAGATACTCTCTGTTCAATTCAATCAATATCTGCTTTAACCTTAGTCCTTATGAAGAGTAATACATATAACCTTTCAATAAATAGATTGTTATTGTCATTGGTCAAATATATTCATTGAAACATGAATAGATTAAATAATGCTTTTGTTAGTTTATAAAATGAGTTTGAAATAAATTAATTTTGCGATCATAAGATTAAAGAATATTTTAATATCTTTTTAATTTAAAAAATCTTACTTATTTAAAAAATTTATCAAATCAAAATTAAAATGAGACGAACCGATTAAATGTTAATAATGAACTCTACCAATAGCATATATGACTAGTCAACAAATGAAGTATATGTGTAAATTAAAAAAATTAGGCAAGGGGCTATACATGTGTCAACGAGTTAAAAAAAGGCTTAATTTTAGCTCCACCTAAAATGCGTAACTGAGCAGGTAAGTCAGCTTCCCACCGGCCCACCGATGCAGCACAAATTTTATGATTTATCATTTGTAATTAAGAGAGGACACATGTATAACTACTATAAATACTACCAATATAACCATGACAAACCAAAGCGGCATACTTTTGTTTTCTTTATCATCACTTGCTTGCCTCAAATATTCATCTATCCTTTTTTCCTCAATATATATTTGGATCCATAATGATATATCAACACTTAGAGATGGAGAGTAATCAAGAAAGAGAGATTGAGTATTGTCGTGCTAGGAAAATGAATGCATATATTCATAGCCAAATTATGAGAATTAGAGCAGAGGATTCACAGCTTGGGGAAGATATAGCTAAGAAGCTTAGGCAGAGAGTTGTTGATCAGGATGTTGCTTCTGTTTTTATGTTGTCTAAGCCTATGTTGCCTGCTTCACCACTTGGTGGGAAAACGCCCACCAATTAGGTGCGTTTGACTTGTTTATTTTCCATTTTTTCTCTGGTCACAGATTCAAAATTTGAAATTAAATCTGTGATGACGTGGTTTTTGAACTTCTAACATAGCGTCCGACGGGGTTTTAATGGACTTTTTTTCTCTTGTTTTGAAATTCAATTGAATTCCCTTCGGAGCTGGTAAGGCTCTTTCATATTGCACTGGTATTGGATCCTTTAGGAGAAAAAGAAATATACCACTTCTTGATATATCAAAAGAAGGATTAGTAGTAGTATAATTTTTTACTGTAGAATGTTTCTTCGCTTTGTAGACTGATAAATCTTGTAAATTAACAGGTATAATTCTGCTTGATTGGAACAGGAAGATTTTCTCTACGCTGGGGATACAGGAAAAGGGAATAGAGATGGAGATGAAGTTCAATTCTCAACACTTCCGTTATGTATATTTTGATGTACAGTATAATACGTAGGAAGAAAATAGACGAAATCTCCAACTCCACTATGTATATTAAAATATTGAAATACCAAAAACGTAGTTGAGAAGCAAAGTCTTGAGAATAGTATGGTGAATGAAAAAAAAGTTAATGAACACGTATGTGGGATTGTGAAATGATAATTTCAACGTATCAATCGAATATATCAACATCAATGAGTTTGGAAAGAATTGATGACTTGTCCATAAATTAGTCGAGATAGTTGATAAGACAGAGAGATTAAGAAGTTGAAAATAGAAAACTACATATTCAGAAGAAAGTTAAATCAAATACTGAATATGAACCACTTCTAATTTTAGGTACCAATGAGACCATTGGCTACATAATCATCCAAGCAAAACATGGAGAAATAAACCTAATACTCTTCATTTTCATCATCTTCACCATCACCAGACTCACATCCAACTTCCTCATAGTCCTTCTCAAGCGCAGCCAAATCTTCTCTAGCCTCAGAGAACTCTCCTTCCTCCATACCTTCACCCACATACCAGTGAACAAAAGCCCTCTTTGCGTACATCAAATCGAACTTGTGGTCAATTCTTGAGAAGACCTCAGCAACACTAGTGGAATTTGAAATCATACAAACAGCTCTCTGCACCTTGGCTAAGTCTCCACCAGGGACAACAGTTGGTGGCTGGTAATTGATACCACATTTGAACCCAGTTGGGCACCAGTCCACAAACTGAATGGTCCTCTTAGTCTTAATTGTGGCTACAGCAGCGTTCACATCCTTGGGCACAACATCACCTCTGTACATCAAACAGCAGGCCATGTATTTCCCATGGCGTGGGTCACACTTGACCATCATAGACGATGGCTCAAAAGCAGTGTTAGTAATTTCAGCAACAGAAAGTTGTTCATGGTAGGCCTTCTCAGCAGAGATCACAGGCGCATATGAAGAAAGCATGAAATGAATCCTTGGGTATGGAACCAAGTTAGTTTGGAACTCATTTACATCCACATTCAAAGCACCATCGAAACGCAGAGAAGCTGTCAGCGATGAGATAACCTACAGAATCGAACAATTGATTAGCCCATCTCTTAAATCAAACAAAACATTTCAAAATAGGAAACAGTGAGATGCTAAAAATACAATACCTGAGAAATAAGCCTGTTAAGATTGGTGTAAGTAGGTCTTTCAATGTCGAGAGATTTACGGCAAATGTCATAAATGGCTTCATTATCCAAAAGGATAGCAACATCAGTGTGCTCAAGAAGCGAGTGTGTTGAGAGCACAGAGTTGTAAGGCTCAACTACAGCAGTAGAGACCTGAGGTGAAGGGTAAATGGTGAATCCAAGCTTGGATTTCTTTCCGTAGTCAACAGAAAGCCTCTCAAGAAGTAGAGAACCAAGCCCTGAACCAGTCCCTCCACCAACAGCATGGAACACCAAAAATCCCTGAAGCCCAGTGCAGTTGTCAGCTAACTTCCTTATTCTATCAAGACACAGATCCACAATCTCCTTTCCAACTGTCACCAAAATTAACCAATAAACAACATATAAAACAAAAACGAAATGAACAAATGAAACTTCCTCTTCATGAAAGTTAGGGTTTCGAGTCTTACTTGTATAATGTCCTCTGGCAAAGTTGTTAGCAGCATCTTCTTTGCCGCTGATGAGCTGTTCAGGGTGGAACAATTGACGGTAAGTTCCGGTCCTCACCTCATCAATAACAGTAGGTTCCAGATCTACAAAGACAGCACGAGGTACATGCTTTCCAGCACCCGTTTCACTGAAAAAAGTGTTGAAAGCATCATCTCCTCCTCCAACAGTGACGTCTCCGGGCATTTGTCCATCAGGCTAGACAAATTATCAAACACAAGTCGGTCAATACAAAAATTCCAAATAGAACTACATCTATTGAAGTAGGGAGATAAGGGGACAAACCTTGATACCGTGTTCGAGGCAGTAAAGCTCCCAACAGGCGTTTCCGACCTGGATTCCGGCCTGACCAATGTGGATGGAGATGCACTCTCTCATTTTATTATGTAAGAAATTGCAGAAAATCGAACTAGAAAAGTAGTGAAGATGGATGAAAATTAATGACAAGAGTGAATTGAATAAGGAGCTAGGGTTTGTAAGAAATGGGTTGTTTATATAGGAGAGGGAAAGAGGAACTATAGCCGGTGGAATTTGAAATTTGAAATGCTTTCTTTCCAGCTGTTTGTGACCGTTGCCGCTCCTTTACGTTTTCTGGAAAATTTGAATTTTTGGTTTCGTTGGGCCTTACGATACTGGACCGAGCTCATCAAACTATAAGAAATGGGCTCGTTAGTTTTCTCTATTGGGCCAAATCTTGTGGATTTAGCCAGAGATCTCAGCCCAAACCTTCTATATAGGCCTAAACCAATAACTGGAGAGCTATCTTTTTCTCTCTCACACACATTAGTGATTAGACCCCCTCACTTTCAACCCGAAGGTTGCGAGTTCGAGTCACCAAGGGAGCAAAAAGGGGTGGGCGCTCGTAGGGAGGGAGGGTAAAAAAAAAGAGATTAGACAATGTATTTCTCTCTTTACTTATTAATTATTATTGGTGAGCAAAAAGTGAAGAGACATAAGATTGTGCATTTAACATGCTTAAAATTATGATACAATTGATGTGTCATTGTCTCATCATCTCTTATCATTCAATTTAAATGATTTGTTCAAATTTTAATTGTTTCACCTTATATGAGAAGCTTAATCTAAATGAATAACAACTATAAACGGCAAAAAAATAGGTTTGGAACAAGGATATGCCGTGGTAAGGCATGTCGGAAATAGTTTTTCTACCCCACAAAATAAGGATAAGGTCTAGGTTTGATTCTCCTCAAACCTCACTTGTAGAATTTCTCTGCATATGATATTGTTGTTGAGCTCCAGTGAAAAGACTAAATTTGTCCTAATGAAGTTAAATGTAGTTTTGGTTTACTAGTAAATTTAGCCCTATGGACTATACTAATAAAATACAACACAATTTCTCGTAATTCAGTGACCATTCATCAACAAATAAGGCCTAAAACTATTTTGACATGATTGTTCCATGTTAACTTTGAGATGTTTTATTGAGGGATTTCAAAATCCAGTATCCATCATGTTCATTATATGTGGATTAGGTTGGAAAGTTTACCAGAATTAATTTAATGTATCCATATAGGCCTCATTAGAAGAAAAGGCAGTTGTGGTCCAACACAAAATGAATTTAGCTTCACTATCTATGTTTGTGGTCCAAATGTCTTTATGTCTGTCTCTAATAATCCCATTGCAAACTCATACTTTTATACATCATTGTTCTTCATTATTACTCTCACCTTCTTATTTTCATTGCTCTTATAATCATTTATATGATTACTATCAAAGTCCCTTTTAATTTCATTTGTTTTTTTTTGTTGTATAGTTTTTCCTAGCTTAATTATTAGCCTAGATTTCAGCAGGGAGTAAAGGGAATGAATTGAATGATCAACCGAATCATTATTAATGTAATTAACCTCATCAACCAAATCACTTCATAAGATTGCATGCAAAAATTAAGAAGTGACATATATCCTGTTTGGTAAAGTTTTTTGAAATTTAAAAAGGATTTGTTTTAATTAAAAAATAAATATAGGTTTAGAGTGTTAAGGTGTCTTAGGAAGATTTTTTAGGAAAAAATAAATACTTGGAATACATATATAGTAAAAGAAGATGCTAAATAAAATAGCTTTTTCCTATAAGATCTTTTTGAACTTTGACAAAATACAACTTGTTGTTCTAATATTGGCAAAAACTTCTTTTTAATTTGAAACACAAAAGAGATGCTATAGCACTTTTGGTTCCTCAAATATGAATAAATTCTAATTTTGATTCTTATTATGATGTATGATTCAAATTTATTTAATCAAAAATCTGTGTTTTTGGTCCCTTATGTTCTGTTTAGACTATTTTTTAGAAATAAATTACTATCTTCAAACATGGAGTGACAATATAAACTTAACATACACTCAATAATTAAATGGTGCAACGTACCATAAATCTCTAGGAAATTTTTGATTATTCACAAGAAAGTGAATCAAAAGTGCATATTTTAAGTAATTGAAATTTGATTGTTCTTGATCAAATATTACAAAGAACTTAAATTAGTATTTATTAATTAATCTCTAACTGACGAAGCAAAAATGTTATTAGCATAAATGAGCTATATACCTATTATTTTTTAAATTCTTTTTATATGATCATGGTGTTCGGGCCATCTTTCACATACCTCAACTTATTTCAAGGAATATCAGTCATCTCACCCCTCCCACCAACAACAAATATCAGGTACCTCTAGTGTTCTCTAGAAACAAAAACAAAAACATTAGGATGAGAATTTTGAAGAGATGAGGGATAAGTGGAAATCTTTGCATGGAGAAAGGAGGATAATATCCACAAAAATAGCACATGGGTAGTACTCTGGTGGGCATGCTAGCTAATTAGAAGAAGCTTAAATTAGTATAAATTATTTCACCGAAACGGATCTTATGTCTCCAAAAGTGACTACAACACAACAAAAGCCACTTCATTTGATTAATAAATCCTTTTACTCAAATACAAAATGGTTTTTTGTTCCTTATAATAATATATCTTTATTTACTATCATTCTAATCTTGACCCTTATAGTCAATAATCACATCTTTTCTAGAGCACCCAACTACATTTAGGATTATAAATTAGCATACCATTTCTCTCTTTCATCTGTTAATTAATTTCATGTTGTTAAATTTTATTATTGAACAAACATTTAATTATAAAAAATTACTTGAACAACAGCCACCATTTGTTGGCGCCCTACTTTTCTTTTCACACTAGCTACTATATAGTTTAATGTATTACTGTGATGAAGAACAGATCATATTTCTCATGATTTGATAGTTTAACTCATAGTTTATACTATAAAAACATTATAATATATTAACCCTTTTGTACTAGAGTTATTGATTCCTTTAAGAATGAGAATCAAGGCAACTAAGAATGTGACATGGTTATCAATGATGGTCTGTATAAGTAAACTTTGTTGGATAAAATTATTCAATGCCTATGCTAGTGAAAGATAACATAGTAGAATAATTGACTAATATATAAATGGGACTTAGACACC